CGGGAGTGAGGGCCCCCCGCTCTGCCTGCCACAGCTCCGCCCCCGTGGCAGCCCCAGCCCCCCTTCACTGCTCCCCCCTCACAAGCAGAGTCTGAGTCTGGAGGAGAAACGTAATGCCAAATGGCTTCCCTGCCCGGTACTACACTGGGAAGCCCCACACGCCCGGCTCCTAACACAGGAGCTAAGGTGCCAGGTGCTTTGGAAGAAAGAATTTGGATACAACTGAAAACCAGCCCTGCTGGGTACCCCCCCGTGGTACCGCGGCCCCAGTGCACTGGGCAGGCTCGCTGCCCCCAGGGGTCACGTCCCTCCAAACAGCCCCTCCCTTTGCGCCCGGTACTACACTGGGAAGCCCCACACGCCCGGCTCCTAACACAGGAGCTAAGGTGCCAGGTGCTTTGGAAGAAAGAATTTGGATACAACTGAAAACCAGCCCTGCTGGGTACCCCCCCGTGGTACCGCGGCCCCAGTGCACTGGGCAGGCTCGCTGCCCCCAGGGGTCACGTCCCTCCAAACAGCCCCTCCCTTTGCATGTTCTGGAAAACACTCCCTGTCCTGGCACAACCAAACCCCGACTTTGCTTTAAGTTAGGGGAAGAGGAAACCGCCTGCTCACTCTGGGGCTCTTGGCTCCTAGCGTGCGGGGGGTTCGTGAACAGAGGGACTTGCAGACAGACGCCGACAGACGCCAAGTCGCTAAGAGAGGGAGCTGTAGAGATGTGATCACTGCAGAGCCCGCGCGCCGCTCCCCGGTGCCTGGTGCTGGTTGAGTCCATGCATGGAAGAGAAGCATCTTCCTTACCCAGTCTCCCCCCTGTAGGCTGGTCAGGGGCGCCTCCCCTTGGGGGTCGGGGGGGCCGCTCCAACCCTCCACGCCTGGGTGAGTCTCTGGGGGGAGTTAGCAGTAGCCTGGTGTCCCTCGCCCTTACCTCAGGGCGGGGCAACAAAAATAACCAAGGATAAAGGCGGCCTGGGTTGGAGGCCAGCCAGCAAAGGGCACGCGGGGCCCGACCGCAGTGCAAGGGCAGCCAAGTCCTCAGTTCAAAGCCCCTGCCTGGGCTCAAGGCCGGCTGTGCTTCCCCCTCCCCCTCAGCACGTACCTGGATGTCCGGTAGGTCTCTCCGGGAATCAAGGGGTCCAGATCCAGTGGCCCATCCTCAGTGGCTTGCAGGGGCTCCAGGAAGCCAGGCCTGGCCAGGAGTCCCTCCCGGTCGCGGGGCAGCAGAGGCCCCGGCGGGCCCAGCCCCCTCTCC